TTAGTCATTTTTTGTGCAGAAAAGATCAACCCTTTGGTCTGAATATTACTGATCTTCCTTTCTTCAGTTATCTCATCTCTCAAGTGCAAAAAATGATCAATTTTTAAAACAAACATGCATGGTTAATTTTATTAGCCACATCTATTTCCTGAGGTTTAAGTATTGATATGTATAACAATTACTTTGGTCAACTCAGTGGTTAAATACTTAAATTAACATTAATAAGATAAAATATATTCTTTAGTTAAAACACGCTTGAACTACATTCAAGCTACCTTCTCCGTATCAAAGTTCCCGGCTGTAAGATGGAAATGAATTGATACGATTAAGGATGTCGCGACAGGAATTTTCCACGAGCGATGGAAAAGTCCCGCTATGGCCTTGACAATAACACAAACTTTCAATCTGATCTCCATTCAATAACGAAAAAAAATTTCTTCTCAAATGTTAGATTAGTTTTTTCTAATAGATCTCTCTGGCTTCAAACATCGATCACACCAATAACGGTATCATAAAAAATGTACAGGGCGTTAGGCCCTGACATGTGAGCAGAACTCTACAGGCAAGTTCAAGCCACTGGCACAGGATTGTACGGCCCATTGGCTCTTCGCAGAAGAGTGTTTGGCGCCGGTTTTTTTTTTTTCAGTTTTTCGGTTACAGCTATGGCTAAGGCTTCTGTATCCTACCAGATCTTACATGTAAATGTACATTTAACTTCACATTTTAAGACTTAAAACGGCTGATTTACACCAATTTAAAACCAAAGAATATTGAGAACTTACCGAGGGGATTGCTCCGTCAGGCAAGGGAATGAATTGTCCTGTCCCTTGAATTCTTGTGAAAAGTCAGGCACTTTAACCATCCTTTCGTCGTGTACATATTGATGTTGTAGGAAAGATCCTCCACAGATCCTTGTTCCTCGGGGAGTTTTCTTTGTCGATGGCAAAAACCGTAAGGGTAAACGAGAAATGTTCCGAATCATGATCAAGTTTTCGCCGGATTTTTCAAAGTCCCATTTCTACCCGCTTTCTACTCGGCCACTACCATCTTTCCACGCACACAGGCTGTCACCTTGTTCTTTGTATAGGATGATAGAGCATTTTTTGGCAGGACGTGAGGTCCTGATCGAGATTTTAACAAGTTTTGTTTATTTATATACCCGCTGCATAATGAGGTACGTGATCGACACGTGCTCTACCGATTAAAAAAGTTTTCGTCGTATCATAATCGTCTAGCATCATCCAAAACACATTTCTAGTAAACTTTTCCTCTCTTTTTGTGAACCAGTCAATGTTGAGGTCCTGAAGGCTGATATAAATTGAGCAGAACTGCATTTGGACTTTGACCCGTTACTCAGCCCTTCAACAACCCCTTTCCAGCGGTTATCCTTCGGTAGGAAAAATAATTCTTATATATGGCACATACTATGTCCCGGGCTGGACATTTCCTGCGCCCTCTACTTTCTCTTAGCACCTCTTTGCCGTAAAATCCTGGCACTAAGTTTTCAAACACAAAGTCAAAACTTGATACATTAGACCTTCTCTCCCCTGTACCTATTTTCGTCCAAATGTGCATCTGTGAGGAATGATTCAGTGCAAGCAAGAATAGATTCTTATTATTATGATATATGTATTTTTAGGATTTTTTGAAAAAGAAATGCAAAACAAGGAAGTGTATATATATGCCTAATTTGGAGTAACATGTCTCATCCAAAAAATGGCTGAGGCAACACCAAAATATCATTGAGGGGTGTAAACCACACCCTGATGTTAATTTAGGACCCAAACTATTTGAGCACTCTTCTTCCGGTTCAAATCTTGGACTCTGATCACTTTTTTTTTGGCAAAAGAAGCTTAAAGGAACCTGCAATTACAAGAATGCTAGTCATGGTGTACACCATGTCCTGAACATCCCTTGACCAACAAAATGTTGTATGGTTTACTTTTGCTGATCAACTGCAAAACAGTGGGAATGCTTTCAAATTTACATTTCAAATGTGTATTTAGGAATTGCTAACATACTGGGATCATGCTATTTAGAAATAAAACTGTAAAGACAAATGAAATGTTTAAGAGTTCAGTATTCCTTTCTAATTTCTACAACATATGACCTGACTTGATTTGTTCGCTGGAGGATTTCGACTGTTACAGCTTGCAAGACACTGACAAATTCATTCATGACCAATGAGTGACCTTGAGGGTATCCAATTTGACCAGTATTGTGCTGCTTTGTTTCCTTCAGCCTGATGAAAAAACTTACATTTTTTCCCTTATGAAATTTCATTCAATGCCTTGGTGGCATTGAATGGAAGTAAAAAAATTTTCAGGGTGCTGGTTTTTGACTGAATGACAAGAAGTAATACACAACAAACCAGTTCCTTTTTAATTTCTACTCCCACTTCCCTCATATTGATCCCACTTCCCACCTCCTCTGGCACCCCTGTCCCCCTTCACCATTGTGCAACCTGAACATATTTGTATATTTACGGAGGCTCAGTGTGTGAGGTTGAATATCAAGGACAATAAAATATGTATTCTTCTTTTAACATTATCTTCTCCAAACCTGTAAAGAACTTTCAAACAGTGTTACAGCCTTTTTATTGCTTTTTCAGTCTTTTTTTTTTTTTTTTTTGATGAAGAAAAATACAGGTTCCAAAGGTTCTGCTGGTTCTGCAGGTTTTGGAGGTTCCCTGGTTTAATGATCCACAGTTTGGTAAAACCCCCTAGTAACTCCAAATTAAAGAAATAAACTGTTGGAGTCAGTAAAATTTGCTTTAAAAATATATGAATTAAGTGTTGAAATAAGTTATTACAATTTCAAGCACTTAATAAGCACAGAATATCATTTTAAAACATAATATTATTGTTCTAAGAGCAATTTTTAATTGGTGATAAACTTACTTTGAAATTGTGCAGGTTTTGTTGGTTGCCCTTAACTGCACTGACTTCTCAACCAATCAAAAACCAACACCAAACAGACCATGACTTGATTGAGTGTTTTCCCATGCCTTTACTGGTCACAAGAATCTGACTGAGTTGTCATTGGTCTTATATATTGCTTCAACATGAGGGTTTGCTTTAGGTTTAGAAACTTCATTCAAATGGGCTCTACCGGAAAGAAGATAAATAAATACAGTTGAACCTGCTGTCCCTTTCCAAAGTCCATAAATTGTTACCCCTTGGTTACTGAAATTTTCACTTATCTTGAACAGTAGCCGTCACTCTAAACTAAGTCCCAACAGCCTTTTTGTATTGTCCTCCACCTGTACTCTATAGTCACTTAAAGCAGGACCACTCAAACAAAACTAGGAATCATCTTTCAAAAAAAACTTAATCCATTTTTAAAATTATCTGAAATCAATGTTAGTACTATTTTGAGTGAGTTTTTGTACATACATGGTCAGTTATGGAATAAACAGCAATTGTTATTATTTCTTAAGTACCCATACTCTGTGG